AATGCCCATCAATAGTAGACTGGATAAAGAATATGGGATATGTACTCTATAGAATATAGACAGCAGTAAAAAACAATGAAATCCGGTCATTTGCAGCAAAATGGAGGAATCTGGAACACATCATGCTGAGTGAAATAAGCCAGTCCCAGAGGGACAAATATCATATGTTCTCCCTAATCGGTGACAACTAACTGAGCACCAAAAAGGAAACTTGTTGAAGTGAAATGGACACTATGAGAAACAATGATTTGATCAGCCCCTATCCTGACTGTCGAGGAACAACTTAATACTTTATTCCTTTTAGTCTTTTTTTGTTCTACTTAATACTATTGGTTGAACTCTTTAATTAATACACAATCATTCTTAGGTGTTTAAATTTAACTGAAAAGTGATCCCTATTAAATAAAAGGGTGGGAATAAGAGAGGGAGGAGATGTACAGTTCGGCACATGCTCAATCGGACTTACAACTAACGGTAGAGTTAGAAACGTGCTAGGGGATTCCAATTCAATCCCATCAAGGTGGCATATACCAATGCCATCTCACTAGTCAAAGTAAACAGTTTCAGTTCACAATTGATCATAATGATAGGTCTAAGAGTCAAAGGGATCACATAAACAAGACTAGTGTCTACTAATACTAACTGATAGAATTAAAAAGGGAAAGAACAATCCAACATGGGAAGCAGGATACTCAGCAGACTCATAGAATGGCAGATGTCCTAAACAGCACTCTGGCCTCAGAATCAGCCCTTAAGGCACTTGGATCTGGCTGAAGAGCCCATGAGAGTATTTTAGGCATGGAAAGCCAAGATACTCTGGCAAAAACAAAAAACAAAAAACAAAAACAAAAAAAAAAAAACAAAAAAAACACCTAAATGAAAGATCTCTGCGAGTGAGATCCCAGCAGAAAGAACGGGCCATCAAAGAAGAAGGTACCTTTCTCTGAAGGGAGGAGAGAACTTCCACTTTGATATGACCTTGTCTAAATAAGATTGGAGTCAGTGAACTCAAAAGGCTTCCATAGTCCTGGCAACTTATGACAAGAGCCTCAGGTGATTACTGATGCCATAAAAAAGAATGTCAATTGTTAAATAAACAGCAGGAGTCACTGTGTACTTACTCCTCATGTAGGATCTCTGTCCTTTATATGTTGTACCATGTTAATTAACAGTTTAACTAGTACTCAAACAGTACTTTATACTTTGTGTTTCTGTGTGTTTGCAAACTGTTGAAATCTTACTTAATATATACTAAATTGATCTTCTATTTATAAAGATAATTGAAAATGAATCTTGATGTGAATGGGATGGGAGAGGGAGCGGGAGATGGGATAGGTGCGAGTGGGATGTGGTTATGTGGAGAAAAAGCTGCTATAATCCAAAAGTTTACTTTGGAAATTTATATTTTTTTTAAACTTTTATTTAATGAATATAAATTTCCAAAGTACGGCTTATGGATTACAATGGCTTCCCCCCCATAACATCCCTCCATCCCTCCCACCCGCAACTCTCCCCTTTCCCATTACCTCTCCCCTTCCATTCACATGAGGATTCATTTTCAATTCTCTTTATATACAGAAGATCAGTTTAGCATACATTAAGTAAAGATTTCAACAGTTTGCTCCCACACAGAAACATAAAGTGAAAAATAATAGATGATTTTTTAAATGATGATGAAATCAGATCAGACCTATTGTCATGTTTAATCCCAGTGAGAGTCAAGTTGGGAATTGCTAATTTCTTTTTTTTTTAACAGAAGATCAGTTTAGTATACATTAAGTTAAGATTTCAACAGTTTTCACCCCCATAGAAACACAAAGTGAAATATACTGTTTGAGTACTCGTTATAGCATTAAGCCTCAATGTACAGCACATTAAGGACAGAGATCCTACATGAGGAGTAAGTGCACAGTGACTCCTGTTGTTGACTTTACAAATTGACACTCCTGTTTATGGCATCAGTAATCTCCCTATGCACCAGTCATGAGTTTCCAAGGCTATGGAAGCCCCTTGAGTTCTCGGACTCTTATCTTGTTTAGACAAGGTCATAGTCAAAGTGGAGGTTCTCTCCTCCCTTCAGAGAAAGGTACCTCCTTCTTTGAAGACCTGTTCTTTCCACTGGGATCTCACTCGCAGAGATCTTTTGCCAGAGTGTCTTGGCTTTCCATGCCTGAAATACTCTCATGGGCTTTTCAGCCAGATCCGAATCCCTTTAGGGCTGGTTCTGAGGCCAGAGTTCTGTTTAGGACATCCACCATTCTATGAGTCTGCTGAGTATCTCTCTTCCCATGTTGGATCACTCTCCCTTTATTTATTCTATCAGTTAGTATTAGCAGGTACTAGACTTGTTTATGTGCCCCCTTTGACTCTTAGTCCTTTCATTATGATCAATTGTGAACTGAAATTGATCACTTGGACTAGTGAGATGGCATTGGTACATGCCACCTTGATGGGATTAAATTGGAGTCCCCTGGTATGTTTCTAACACTACCATTTGGGGCAAGTCAGCTTGAGCATGTCCCAAATTGTACATCTCTTCCCTCTCTTATTCCCACTCTTATGTTTAACAGGGATCACATTTCAGTTAAATTTCAACACTTAAGAATAACTGTGTATTAATTACAGAATTAAACCAGTCATATTAAGTAGAACAGATAAAAAAAAAACTACTAAGAGGGATAATGTATTAAGTTGTTCATTAACAGTCAGGGCTATGTTGATCAAGTCACCGTTTCTCATAGTGTCTATATATTTATTAAATAAAAGTTAAAAAAGAAATATTTTTCCAAGTTGGTGGCTTGTTTTATCATTGTTTTAACAAAGTCTTGGGGCCGTTGCTGTGGCACAGTGGGTTAAAGCCATGGACTGCAGCGCCAGCATCCCTATGTGCACTGGTTCAAGAACCCACTGCTCCACTTCTGATCTAACTCTGCTCATGTGCCCCTGCACCCAAGTGGAATACTTAGAAAAAGCTCCTGGCTTGTGGTTTTGGATTGGCTCAGCTCTGGCAATTGTAGCCATTTGGGGAGTGAACCAGCAGATGGAGGATCTCTCTCTCTCTCTCTCTGTTTCTTCCTGTACCTCTGTCTTTCAAATAAATAAAATAAATCTTAAACAAAAAAACAAAGACTTTCATAAACCAAAGGTTTTTATGTAGTTGAAGTTCAATTTATGGATTTTGTTTATGTGTGTGGATTCTGTCTTTAGTGTAATGTCTAAGAACTTGTCACCTAATGCTAAGTTATGACAATTTTCTATTTTATTCTCTATAAAAAGTTTTGTAGTTTTATATTTTACATGTAAGTCATAAAAATCCATTTTAGATTTTGCATATGTGAGGTTTAAGTCAAAGTTCATTTTTTGGGTTATTGATGCCCAATTGTCCCAACATCGTTTGTTAAAAAGACTATACCCTTTCTCCAGTGAATTACTTTGCACATTTGTCAGAAACTTGTAACTTCAGTTTAACTGTGTGAACTTAATAAGTTCTCAATTTAAAAATCACAAGTCCAAAGCCATTATGTGGCATATTTGAATATTTAAGAGAACTTCAGTGTCACCTTATTTAAAAGTTTAATTTGTTAGATTTATAATTTTTAAGTACTCCAATGGTTTCGTTTGTTAGACAATTGAATTACTTTAAAAGGAAATCTATCATATCAAATGCATAAACACAGTTTAAAATGTTGAGAAAAGTTATTAACTAAATATGTAAATGAGAACAACGACTACTAAAAGGCCCCTTTAAAAAGACTGAAGAAATTTGCTAAACATATTAAAATTGTTGCATAAGCTACACTTTCATACTTAAAGTTGAAGTAGGCCTTTGATACATATTTGATAATTAAGCTCTTTTTAAAAAAGTAGTACTTCTTAGAGAAGCTAAAATTAAAAAAAAAAAAATAATGACAATACCAACTGCTGGCAAGGTTACAGCAAAACTAATACCTTCATACATTCTTTTAGGAATATGAAATGTCCTAACCATGCTACAGAACAGTTTGGCAGTTTCTTACAAAACTAAACATGACTTACCATATGGCACAAAAATTCTACTCTTCAGCATTTATCCAAGAGAAATTAAAACTTATGTTTACATAAAAACTTGTACACATACTTATAGCACCTTGAGTTGTAATAGCCAAAAACTTGAAACTGCACAAATGCAGTCAGCTGGTGAGTGTAACCAAATGTGTTACAGCCATACTGTGGAACAGTACTCAGCAGAGAAAAGGAATAAACTAGATAAAATTTGGACAAATGATATTATGTGCAATGAAGGAGAGAAAGTCAGTCTTAAAAGATAGCATCCGGTAAAGTTTCATTCACATAACATTACTGGAATGACAAAATTACAGAGACGTAATACAGAGTAGTGTTTGTCAGGAGTTAGGGGCTGGCAGCAATAGTAGATAGGGAAATGGTGAGACTGTGTAAGGTAACTTGATAAATCCTTGTCGTTACCAAATTGTCCGTATCTCTACCACGGTGATCCTCACACTAACACAGACGTGCGATAAAAGGAAACACATATATGAGTGCATGTAAAACTGGTAAAATTTGAAGATTAGTGAATTGGGTTAATGACAATATTCTGCTCATCCTACTATACTCTAGATTATCAATTTGTAATCATTGGAAGGAACCAGGTGATGTCTACACAAGATCTATTTTTCCTTTAGATTACACATGAGTGTAAAATTAATTTTTTTTAACTTTTATTTAATTAATATAAATTTCCAAAGTACGATTTATGGATTACAATGGCTTCCCCCACATACTGTCCCTCCCACTCACTACCCTCCCCTTTCCCACTCCCTCTCCCCTTCCATTCACATCAAGATTCATTTTCGATTATCTTAATATACAGAAGTTCAGCTTAGTATACATTAAGTAAGGATTTCAACAGTTTGCTCCCACACAGAAACATAAAGTGAACAAGTCAATAGATGATTTTTTTTAAATGATGATGAAATCAGATCAGACCTATTGTCATGTTTAATCCCAGTGAGAGTCAAGTTGGGAGTTGAGAATTTCTTTCTTTCTTTCCTTTTTTTTTTTTTTTACAGAGGATCAGTTTAGTATACATTAAGTAAAGATTTCAACAGTTTGCACCCCCATAGAAACACAAAGTGAAATATATTGTTTGAGTACTCGTTATAGCATTAAATCTCAATACACAGCACATTAAGGACAGAGATCCTACATGAGGAATAAGTGCACAGTGACTCCTGTTGTTGACTTTACCAATTGACACTCCTGTCTATGGCATCAGTAATCTCCCTATGCTCCAGTCATGAGTTTCCAAGGCTATGGAAGCCCTCTGAGTTCTCCGATTCTTATCTTGTTTAGACAAGGTCATGGTCAAAGTGGAGGTTCTCTCCTCCCTTCAGAGAAAGGTACCTCCTTCTTTGAAGACCTGTTCTTTCCACTGGGATATCACTCGCAGAGATCTTTTGCCAGAGTGTCTTGGCTTTCCATGCCTGAAATACTCTCTTAAAATAATTTAAAATAAATACATTAATATTCTCTTCCATGCACAAAAAAAAAAAAAAAAACAAAGTAAGACCCTTACGAGCATCAAAACAGCTAGTATAATATACAGTGGAGGGCATTTGGCTTAAGAGGTTAAGACACCCATGTGCCACATCAAGGTGCCTAGATTCAATACCTGACTATGCTCCTAACTCCAACTTCATGCTAGTACAAACATTGGGAGGTAGCAGTAAGGGCTCAAGTGATTGGGTTCTTGCCAACTACAAGAGACCTGTACTGAATTCCCAGCTCCCAGCCCAGTCCAGTCCTGGATATTGTGGGTGTTTGAAGAGTGAACCAGCAGATGGAAGAACAAACTCTCTCTTGCTTTCTGTTTCCCTCTTTATCTCTCTGTTTCTGTCTCTCACTTGCTCTTTGCCTCTAAAATAAATAAATAAATAAATTTCTTTACACACAATACTACAGTAATCAGAACAACTGATTAATATATGGCATATATTTAACAAATTGTACCTGTTGCCACAGTTGTTAATTTTATTACTACTTCTATGATTTTTATCATTAATATTTGACCTTGTATTTGCTCTTAGGACTGATGCTCTACCTTTAATTATTCTCATTATTGACTTTTCATTTGATTAAGTATTTGAGAACTTTACTAGAGCAAATAATACTCCCTTGCCCAACTTATCTCAGCCCTCTCCTGAATGTCTACTCTTCATTTCTCCCTACTCCACTGCTTTACCACAATTTATTTTCCTCCTTAGCATGTATGATCAAATGATATATTATAAATTTATGCTGTTACTTCTTTGTCCTTTTCTTAAAGGTGCATTCTTTATTTGAAAGGGAGAATTACGCAGAGAGGGAGAGAGAGAAGTCTTACATGCACTGGTTCAATCCCCAAATGGCCACATGGCCAGTGCTGGGCCAGGCCAAAGCTTCCAAAGCTGCATCTTGGTCACCCATGTGGTTGCAGGGGTCCAAGGACTTGGACCATATTCCATTGCTTTCTCAGGAACATTAGCAGCGAATTGGATCAGAAGTGGAGCAACTGGGGCTCTAACTGACACTCAAATGGGCTGTCTGTATTGCTAACAGCAGCTTAACCTGCCACAATAAGGGCCCCACATGTTTATTCTTGAGTCTCCTTTAGAAGTCAAACTCTTGGACAACAGGGTTTTATTTACTTTTGTTCACTGTTGCATCTCTAGTTCTTACCCAATACCTGACATGATAGAGATTCAGCGATGATTTTTAAGAAAGTCAACATTGGTTTCAACTAATTAGTGAATGTTAATATTAAAAATAAGAAGGCAAAAATAATTTTGCTCCATGTTTTAAGTAACAACTCCTGATGTGTGAGAATGTGCCTTAGAAAAATACTTTTCTAAAGATATAAAACTATTTTGAAAAGAATCTTCCAAGCACTTCAAGGACAAAAAAGATCAAGGAAATACTATGTTTCTTGAGAGTTTGATACATTTCTCTGCATGCCTTATTCATGAGTGAAAATGAAGAGTCTGCTCCCTTTCGGAGCCCATTCACTTTTACTTCTGTGCTTCCATTGGCTATTCACGTTAACCAGTTCTTAGGATAGTAGTTCAGTTGCCTCAGACCAAATTTGCATTTTGCTTTCAGGATGCATGCTAATTCTCTTACTTCAAGTTTATTTTCATCTATTTATGCAAGAATAATTTGGAATCCATCAAGATGCATAAGTACTTCAGTAACCTCCCCTACCTCTTGCTCCAGATTATATATGAGTCTGTTTAATTTCTCTGGAAATGAAGCAAAGACATTTAAAAATATTTGTTATGAACCACAAAATTGTTTTAGGGGTGATACATACTCTTATTAACTTTCCTTCTGTTTCAGGTCTTAAAAGAACACCTTCTCCAGTCAGGTCCATGGATTCACTGGGTGATTCACACCCATGCAGTTTGTTCTTCATTCAAATGAGTAAATAGGAAAAAACAGAATCTTAAGGGACCTGGGAAGGAAGACAAATATGTGCCACTTACTGAGCATTCTGAAAATTATAGACATGCTTCAGGAAATAAGTGTGGGGAGCAACCTGGACTGGACTAAGTTACTGGAATTAAGACTTATTCTATGCATCTGCTCTCCCACAATATGGCGCTGGGAGAGGAGGAAACAGCTTCTACGCAGCTGCCTCTTGCCAACCTGAGTGATGACCTCCAAAAGCTGATCCTGCTCCTGATTGGAGTACTCGGCGTGTGGGCAGCCGAGTTGGGATTGGTGGAAGAGGACTATAAAGGAGGAGAGAGACAACATGCACCAGGAACATCTATCTGAAGGAACACCTGTGCAGCCCCCGAGAGAGCCGGCCGGCGGTGTGCTGCTCCCCTGCGGAAGTGGGGAAAGTGGCCAGGGGGAACCGCCCTTCCACGGAGGTGGAAGGGACGGTAGCCAACCCGGGAAGAACCAGCAGCAAACCCGGGGAGGGCCGAGCAGACGAAAGAACAGTGCAGGGTCCTGTGTCGTTCCTCCACGAAGAGGGAGAGCGACATAATGGTGCCGTGACTCAGATATGAAGCCTAGGCAGGGCCTAGTGTCGTTCCTCCATGAAGAGGGGGAGCGACAAATAAGAAGGGTTCCGTTTCCAATAGATAGCAGCCAAATGCAAAATAAAAATAAAACAGTTCCCACCCAGCCACCTTGTGATTCCAGCCTCCCATTTCAGTGTACTAGTTCCAATTGCAGTTGCTCCATTTTGAATCCAGCTCCATGTTAACATACTAGGGAAAGCAGTGGAAGATAGCCCATGTACCTGGGCCCCTGCACTCATATGGGAGATCCAGACAGAGTTCCAGGCTTCTGGCTTTGGACTGGACAAAATCTGGCCATTGTGGCCATTTGAGTAGTGAACCAGCAGATGGAAATCTCTCTCTCTCTCTCTCTCTCTCTCTCTCTCTCCTCTCTCCTCTCTCCTCTCTCTTCTCTCTCTCCTTTCTCTCCTCTTTCTCCTTTCTCTCTCTTTCATTCTGCCTGTCAAATAAATAAATAAATAAAATATCCTTAAAATAAAAAAAAATTACAACTCCCATCCTGAAGTAGGCAGGATTCACCAGGGATCCAGAACTTTTTCATGACTCGTGGTGAATGTGAGCTCATAAAAAGCAGTAGTAAAGGGACTCAAGGAGTCTGGTGAGAAATACCATAGATTGTAAGTGCCCCAAGATAACATAAATTGCTTCTGGTTTCCATCTTCTACTTAACTCTCTGTTATCAAAATTCTCAGGAAGTAACTTGAGACTGGGTAGTAAATGAATGACTCTTGATCATTTGAAACAATGTAGGCTAAGCTTTACATGGTGTAAGTTTCACTGTCTTTGTTACCTGACCAAAAAGCATTGTTTTTCATTACATTTATAACAATATCATCATTCATTACACATTTGAATTTTGGAACCAAACTCATGCCATTGTGTCCAATCTAATAGCAGTATATGAAGGTCTAAGGATGTCACAGAAGAAAGATGCATCGATAGGTATTACTCATTAAATACCTCACAAAGAAAGTAAGGCAATTTGGAATATTTGCCAAGGCCATGATCTAAGTTACAGTAATATTTTTTATCTCTTTCTCACTTAAATCCAGGCAGAGTCAAAGAACCTCAAGTTAGTATGGGAAGGGGAGTCTACTTTTCTCATTATAATTCTCCGACCTAAAGCAGTTCCAAGTTAAAGGAGGAAATATTAAGCTCCAAAAGTTGGGAGTTCCAAATAATACCTAATACTGATCATTCCAGTTATTTAATTGAAATGATGTTTATGAGAAGTTTTTGCAAGACTCTGTCTTATCTAAGGATCTGCATAATAATCTTGGGCTTGCTGGAGTTTCTTCCAGGAGTAGAAGATTATACTGACTATAACAGATGAGATAAGAAACTGCATTTTGCTAAAAATCCATGCATGTCAATGCAACATACTGGTTACACATACAATATCTCATTTATTCCTCATAGCACCTTGAAATTCATGCATGCAACTTGTGCAGTTGTGCAGGTATACATGCTGAGAAGTTTGCCATGCATGTGTTAAGACTCTCCTCTCACTGTCTTGAAGTTCTTAATAATTTTAAAAGGGTTCCCAAATTTAAATTTGCACTGAGTTCTTCATGTTATGTAGCTGGTCCTACAAAATGTTTCTGGGAGTCTGGTCATACTCAGTTTCTTGACTCAGATTTGTAATTATATGGGTGGCAACTTTTAATAATTTGTTATACCGTACACATTTTTTGAAAATATTTCATGTATTTTATGTTACATGATTTTAAAATGTTAAAAACAAATCCTTTCCAAGAAACAGATTTATTTCAGGAAATGAGGAAAATTAATATCTGACTCACAGTCTCAATAAATATGAAGGCTTACTTCTAGTAAATAAAAGTAAGTAGAAATAAAACCTAATTATTTTTAATTTAGAAATTGAAATAAAATCTGTATTGGAAGTACTACATGGCAGACTTGTCACAGCAGAAGAATACATCTTTTTTTTTTTTTTTTTTTTTTTTTTTTTTTTTGACAAGCAGAGTGGACAGTGAGAGAGAGAGACAGAGAGAAAGGTCTTCCTTTGCCGTTGGTTCACCCTCCAATGGCCACCGCGGCCAGCGTGCTGCTGTGGGCCCACCATGCTGATTCAATGGCAGGAGCCAGGTACTTATCTTGGTCTCCCACGGGGTGCAGGGCCCAAGCACTTGGGCCATCCTCCACTGCACTTCCCTGGCCACAGCAGAGAGCTGGCCTGGAAGAGGTGCAACCGGGACAGAATCCAGTGCCCCGACCGGGACTAGAACCTGGTGTGCTGGTGCTGCAAGGCGGAGGATTAGCCTAGTGAACCGTGGCGCCGGCCCAAGAATACATCTTGTAAGAGTAAAAGGATAAGCCTGAGATATAATCCTACAATTCAAAATGAACACATATAGGTATGGGAAGACAAGAGATGTGGAGGGTAATTGACAGAGATCCAACTTATAAATAATGGTCATCTCTAAAGAAGGAAAAAATGCATCAAAATCCACTTGTAGGAAGAGATCATTCCAGAGTAGAGAATACCAAAGGAAACGAAGAAGCTTCACCAAATTCACAGCAAATTTAATAAGAGTCATGTTTCTTGTTAACTTTATTATTTGATTTACAATGAAACAAATAAGACTGTGAAACCTTATTAACTGAAAAATAGGTAGTCCTCTAAGAATTATCTAGAAGTGGGAAGAGTTCAAAATTTTTTGTTATTTTTTCTTCAGGTAACAATATAAAAATGTTTTGCAGTTTAGGCAGTAGAAATTAGGGAACATAATGATCCAATGATCCAAAAATATTGCCACCAGTCAAGTTAGTATGCATTTTTGAAAGCAGAATAGTCAATTCAGAGCTTCAAAGTTTCAGGAAAATATATATTCAGGTACTTCTGGGATTAAAAAAAGATTAAATACATTAAGTCCACTGGAAAATGAAAATGAATCAAATTTAAATGAATCAAATTTAAAACTATTATTGCAAAGTCATGATAGCAAAAGACCAGCAGTAAAAATAAAACCAGCCAGAACAAACTTCAGACATCTCTAAACATCATTGAAAGATTGATGCCGTTAAGTCTAAACAATTTGTGTAACTATGGTAACTAGCAAAGGATGCAAATGACAAAACATGCCTTGAAAAAAAGAACGCTTTTAAAATAACAAGGTTTTCAATGGAAGATTAAATTAACAAAAAGTACCTTAGGTAGAGAGAAAAACCCAAAAATACTATGTTTATTTTTCCATGAAATGGAACTCAAAGTTGTCATTTTTTATAAAAGCATAACATATACCAATCTAAAAAAATCCATGAATATTACTAAATTGCCATTAACAAAATTTAATTCTCCATTTTCCAAATTATTGCAAAAATATGAACATACAAAACAATTTCTATGCAAAACACACACACACACAAATAGGAAAACAGTTCCACTGTAAGAATTAGACTTAGAAAACAACTAGAATCACTTATAGGTTCAATTCAGAATTAAGGCCGGCGCCGTGGCTCAATAGGCTAATCCTCCACCTTGCGGCGCCGGCACACCGGGTTCTAGTCCCGGTCGGGGCGCCGGATTCTGTCCCGGTTGCCCCTCTTCCAGGCCAGCTCTCTGCTATGGCCAGGGAGTGCAGTGGAGGATGGCCCAGGTGCTTGGGCCCTGCACCCCATGGGAGACCAGGAAAAGCACCTGGATCCTGGCTCCTGCCATCGGATCAGCACGGTGCGCCGGCTGCAGCGGCGGCCATTGGAGGGTGAACCAACGGCAAAGGAAGACCTTTCTCTCTCTGTCTCTCTCTCTCACTGTCCACTCTGCCTGTCAAAAATAAAAAATAAATAAATAAATAAATAAAAAAATTCAGAATTAATCACATGATTTTTGTGGTCAGTCTTGTGGCGCAGCAGGTAAAGCCCCCGCTTGTGACACCTGTATCCCTTTCAGAGAGCCAGTTCGATTCCCAGCTGCTCTGCTTCCTGCTAATATACCTGGGAAGGTGGTTCAAAATGGCCAAAGTATTTATGAACTTGCCACCCACATGGGGGAACACATGGTACTTGGCTTAGGCTTGGCCAGCCCTAGCTGTTGGAGCCATTTGGGGTATGAGCCAACAGATGGAAAAGCACCTCTCTCTCCCTCCCCCTCCCTCCTCCCTCCCAATGAATAAAATAAATCTAAAAAAGATTAATCATATGATTTAAATGAAAATACCCCCAAGCTTTGGAAATCTCCTAAATGGCTATTGTTTCTGAAAACAATACAGTATAAAATGCAGGACTACACAGAAAAAAATTTTTTAAACCTAATCATACAGCTTAATGTCACAGATTAAAATGGACACTATAACTGTAAATGAAGCAACTGGAACAGAGAAGATACAAATTTTTGTGGCCCTAGCAGCACATTTTCTCTCCTTTTGATAATTTGGCAGAGAGTTGGCTCAGGAGCCCT